ATTCCCGTGGGATCTAAGAGATACCTGCAATCAATGTTAATAATGCCAGTGTAATACGGTAGTGTTATAATTAAGGATTACGGGGCCAATTAGTGCTGTATTTTAAGAATCCTTGTCCCTTTGCTGGCAAAACACTAGATTGTGTGATTTTTAGGGAAATTCTCCTTGATTCGAGAAATCACTTGGCAACGCGATGGATGTCTTGCCGCAAGGTTGACGTCAACCTCATCAATTTGCAAAACAATATGTTAGTATGATTGCGAAAAACTTTGAAACATCGAAATGACGTGGGGTTTTTTAGGAAACGGAGAAACGGGAAAGTTAGGAGGGGTCCATTTTTGGACTATGAAGAACTCTTATATACTGTAACCCTACTACAACGGCATGCGTATATATGTGTTCGACCGATAGCACACATATACATATAATATTTTTACTAGTAAAATGTTAGAAATTATCTATTTGATAAAAAATAACTTAAATATGATATAAGGACTCGATCGGAAACCGTCGGCACACTCCGTAAATGAGGAAAATAGTAAAAATAACATTTTACAAGAATGTGATTTCCAACTTCACACTTGTTACGAGACGTTGTTGTACCGAAACCGATTTTACTCAAAATAGCTTCATTGTGTTCCTGTGAAATCCTGTGGCTATCATATCATGAGGATGTTAGAAATCATTATATGCATTCTTTAAAGAACATGCAGACATGTACATGTAATCAAACTTACCATCAACTTTGATGTCTACAGCATCATTCCACACTATTTCTGAAAACATATATTATTGTCTTTTAAGTATTAAAATTGAGCTTGTGTGCGTTATTAAATAATTACAGGGCTTCTAAAATGTGTTATAGGATTTTCTGGCTTCGCTGCATATCGCAACTGTTAAAAGAATACTATTAGTATATTATATTATGAAATCGTTTTTATTTGATGGGCAATATCTTAAATAAAATGAATAGATCACGGTTATTTCCATACATGAAATAAGAAATAGGTGATAAAATTTCACCTTTTAAAGGCCGGTTTATTTGGGCTATTTTCGGAATAAGAACTACTGTATATTAGGAATTTTTCGCCGCATTTTAAACGTTTTAAATTTCGCCTTTTTTGCCCTACGTCACGAGGGCGAATTTATCATTAAAGCGAATATAGGCAGACAACATAATAATAATAATAATAATATACAACATTTGATATAGCGCCCTATCTAGCTAACATAAGCCACTAATATCTCCCAATGTGTGTATGCATGCGTGTGTGCTGGAGATGTGATGTGTTCTGGTTGTAGTGGGACCGTGCTTCCAACGGCATCATTTATAGTGCCACCCCACTTGAATGCTACAGCACAGATAACGCAACATCCACCCCAGACCAATTTATACTCCGCCTGGGTTGTTGGAGATGTGTGGGCAGAAGAAAAAACTTTCTCTGAATACCCACGCGTATGACGACTTCGGGAATCGAACCCCGGCCGCCTGCGTGGAAGGCCGGAGTGTTAACCACTCGTCAAATCCGCCCAATCGGTGGACATTGAGTTAAGAGGAGACGGCGAAAATTTCCCAATATGCATTGTGGTTTTACGCATGATTTTATTGAACTGTATTTTTCGTAACGCGGTCCCTCTTATATCTTATTTTATTCATTTACACTTCATATGAGGTCTGGAAATGAAATAGAAAATCTTCACACGGAACAGGATTGCAGACAAAATCAATGACGCGCGTTAGGCAGTTCCGTGTTATAGGACCATAACACGGAACAGAAAGCTGTTTAATGCTTATATTTCCATTTTTCTTTTTTTCTTTTCATTTCTAAGTTCACAACGCACTTTTAAATTTTTGCGGTGTTTGTTCAAAAGGTAGATCAGCCCATGGAATTGCTCAAGGAATGTTGTCTCGTGACTTTCCGCGTAAAAAATATAGGTCGTGGAAATAAGCACAAAAATATCGACATGGTTTCCATAGTTCAATCAATCGATATGTTCAATTCACATTATATAATAGCCTTACATAAACGGTGAATATTATTGAATCATAGAGTTTTTTGTGCTTATAAATGTGTTTGCTAGTGCGGAGGGGAATAGCGATCCGTTAGTTATTCGTACCCTTGGATATATCAGTACGCCAGTGTTATGGTCTTATAACACGGAACTGGCCTTTGTAGTGTTAAATATTGGCAATGCAGAGCAAATGTTAATATAAACTTATAATATAATTTAAACAATAAAAATGGGCACCTACTTTCAATAATTGTCCGAATAATTATCTCCAATATTGGACTTTTGTGAATTAAACTTGTTCACCTCCAGCTTTGTTGAAGCATTTTTTTTCAATTGAACTACCTAGCTCTTGTGTTTAATACGTACGCCATTGATAATTAGATGACATAAACTTCATGAACTACAGATTTTCGGAAATCTGGCGCACAGGAAATATTCGGCTCTATCACTGAAAATTTGAAAGGTAACGTCACTCATCAAAGAAGAAATAATGTTACTTAATTCTTCATTTTTTTTGTACGAAACATTAACGAATATTTTTTCAATAACATCAAACTTTTTATCAGCCTAATGACTTGATCTTCAATGTATGACGAAAGTTTCTGAAATAGATGCCGTTTTGCATGCTTTCAATGACATAGTTTCGTCACTAATATGAAAAATAACCTTCATCAAACTTTACAATGTCACACTCCATTGGATTTCATTTTTATTGTTTTCACTTAAATGGGTTCAGCTCATCACATAAACTGGATTTACTTGATCTTTAAAATATTTTAAGAATCTGTCTTCAGGTAAATTATTTGATATTTTCAATTTCCCTTTTACAAAATATTCATAAAAGTGTTTCAGGTTTCAGGTTTTCTTAGATATTTTAACATATCTCGCGCAACAGTCGGATACCCGCTCTTAATTCGAAAATCTTGCTATCAGTTAATTTTATGTACAAATCATTCTATAACGACTTAAAGTCTATGTTTGTTTACAGTTTTACAACTATCAAATGTATACATTGCATCTTTGTTATCTTTATATCTCTGACGAGCATAACAAATATTTTAACGTGATTTGTCCATAAAGGCGTTTAATCTGTGTTGTCAACCTCGGTCCCAGGTGAACACTACCGATCTCCACCTGGGACCGATGATGCCCGACGTTGTGAAAGTTTCACATGCTTTCATTTAAAAATAATAATAATAATAATGAGAGTTGTTAAAGTTGATATCCTCTTCAACAAGTGGAGTGTTTGTCTTCTGTCCGATCACATTCCTATGGCTTTCTTCCACAAACATCCCGACCTCGCTCCGTAAACAGACGAATGTTTACATGGCGATCAGGTGACTTTCCGAAAACACCCGAATGTGTCATGACGCTGTCTCAATCACACGATAAAAAAACCCACAGATGATTGAACAGATATAATATAATGACAAAATCCCTTGTATTTTTTGTCATCATGGCTAGTGGTTTTGTTGTGATGATGAATTTGCGTACAACTATCCGCCGAAGTAACATGATAAAAACGTCGATTTATGAAGCTTACGCCATTACTAAACAATATCATATATATCTTAATTAAATCACAAATGTCATGTGGGTCAGTTCAATTTCTTTTGTGATATTTAACAATGGTCATATTAAACAACTTAAGACTAGTTTAGATCATTGCTAGATTGTAAAATGATCTAGCAATAGTCGAACTAGTCTGACAAAACAAATTGACATAACTAGCGTCCAATCCTTTTGTAGATATCTATGCAATAACATTTGTTTTAACTTAAAAAAAACACAATTGCATATTGTTATCATAGTAAAGAAAATAGAAAACTGCGTCGTTTCATTTATTTATTTTCTAAAGAGTTTCATATGTTACNCTCCTCCCGACCCCCGACCCCATTCCCCCTTCAATATTCCATTCCAACGGGACACTATATCATTTTTTTGAAGTTTCTTTATTCCCGAGAGCTTTATCCGATTCATAGTTTAATATCAAACAATTACATCATGTAGTACATGAACAGGAGATTATGCATGTGTATACACATTTAAAATTAATTATGTGGAGAGTGAGCCTATAAAGTATATAAGTAATTTTTCGTATCAGAAATTGATTTCTCAACGTTTTCTCGTAGCATGTCCTGTCCTCGGTGGCAATATCGTGAAAATCTTTGCACGGTCGATTGATTGATCGGGCCTTATTACGCCTTTTCCCTGTTATTACCGAACCTAGAGGGGAAAACTATTGCACAGTTTAGTTCTTTAGCAGTTATATACATCACACCACATCCCCATATACCCCATCCCCCGGGGCACTAAAAGTAGCCCGTCCCTACCAATACCACATAGAGAAAGTGTCTCTTCCATATGGCACTATTAACCCTTTTTTGTCAAGAGTACGGAATCTGAATTATACGTACTCTCCTAGATATTACAGGGGCAAAACAAATCCGGATTCAACACCGTTTAAAAAAAAACCGCTCATCTGGATAAAGAAATCCGTATCGCCATTGAAAACAAAGATTGTGTTACCAGTAGCCTGTCACCTCCTCCATCACGCGCTGTCCCTCCCGTATGTTTACATGACCTTTGTTTACATGACCTGCTCCCTCCCACTTAGCCATCACTCGCTGGTTAGCGTTTGATGGATCGGTGTCGTACAAACATCGCTCTAGACGGCCACCGTACAGGAAAAAAACCAACATCGGTTCACCAATAGGACTCGCTTTCGCGTGCTTTCCTCGTGTCGGCGGATCATTTTCTCACGGTGAATTGTCTTATCTCTTTAACAGTTTACTTCCTTGAAAATTAAACACAAAACCACGCGCAGTCCACAGCTTTCCACATGTACGGAGCTTACGTAGAACAAGATTCAACTAAAAATTATCTGGATTGATGTTTTGCCCCAATTTTTCTTGGATTTATTCATCGTAAACATTTTTCTTGTATTTTTTTATCGTTAACGTTTTGCTTTCGATATCTGTAATGTACTCATTTATTTGATTCCATAACAGCCCTACTGGATGTTTTGGAACTACTATCACAATCATCATGGGTGACGTCATCGAACAAACGTCTTCTTTAATATTTCAAAACTCGGGTGATCAAACAACTGGTGAATTCGACAAAATTGACGATGGGTGTTTAGGTTCAAATTTTCTTGATTCAGACAGATTTCAGAGCAGCCAGAATCGTCCCATCACATTTGAGAACGCCGCACGTGAGCGCTCTCGTGTGAAAACGCTGCGAGGGGCGTTCCTGGAGCTACAGCGCACGTTACCGGCGGTACCCCCGGACACGAAACTGTCAAAACTGGACGTGCTTGTTCTAGCCACCACCTACATCGCCCATCTGATGCGGACTCTGAGGGAGGACGAAGACGAGAACCAAATATTTGCTGCTAATGGGATCATGCATCCAGTTAAGGTAGGAAGCTAGCAAATTCAGTTATATCATATACAGCTATAGTGATGTACTAAAACTAAGGCTATAAGCAAGTATGTCAAACGTTTAAAAACTGCTTCATGTGACATAGTCATACGCATTAAAGACTAACGATAAAACTGTAATTTTCTAATTTTCATATATGTGACGATTCTGTTTAAGACTTTGTTTTATTGGAGAAAACAAAGAGACAGAAAATATTAAATATATATACAGCTCTAATAATATTAATTTATAGTGTAATGTAAGTAATAGGTGGCTCTAGAAATATTTTATAATTGATATTACAGTGCACGATATATGCAATTACGTATGTACAACCGTAATTATATCATAATTAATTATAATGTTTAAGTTGTATACATTTCATATGATTATGAAATTTATAGAACCGTAAAAGTAATATAATAAAACTATTTACATCTCTAGCAGTATGAAAATTAACAGTAATATGTTGCTTATATTGAGTTTTAGCGATATGGTGCCATATAAATTATATCTACAACTCTAGTAATACTATAACTTATAGTAAAGGGTAAAGTTATATATATACTGCAGTAAATTTATACGTAATAATAAAGTATAAAGTTATATATATATATATGTATGTGTGCAACTCTAGCAATATTATAAATATTAGTACAGCGTAAAGTTATATATATATATTACTGTGTAACAATATTATAAGTAATAATAAAGTATAAAGTTCATCAGCGTTCCTTGTCCGCGATGCTCTCAGCTTAATTGCTGCCTTCGGCTGTCTTTAGCCGAGGGGACTATTGGTTTTATATAATAGCTATATTTTCAGTTATAGTATATCAGTTCTATCTTCTTGTAATATGATGTATATGAACATGTAACTGTTCTGTTTCACTGTGTCTTGAAAAAGGAGCGGATCGCTCCGAAAATTTGACAACCTAAACGTGTTCACACTGTTGGAATTACTTCTTTGCCCCATATATACAACTCTAGTAATATTACAACTAATACCAAAGTGTAAAACTATATACAACTGTATATACCTGCTAAAGCCCTCGGCCTGATATTGGGTCCTCGAGCTGATATGGCATGTGGTATGGATTTTACCATGTACTATTCTCTATTTAATCATTATATAATTGATAATAGAGTCTTAAGTTATATACAACTCCAATATTAAAACAGTTTTTAACGCCGGGGTACGTTAATAATTTCTTAAACCGTAATTTTCTTATTTTGGTTTCATTTTTATTTATTTATGCATTGTTATTTATTAAATTATTATTTATTCATTTATTTATTTTAACGTTAGTTTAAACAATATTTTTTATTCAATAATTACATTATAAAAGTACATTAAGTAGCTATATAGATGAACAGGGACTTGACAGCAAGCTCATAGCTTATGTAAGTCATCTCCCTTTGTTTGATAAGCATGCATTGATGTAATTAGTAATGTTATCGAACATTGCAAACATGATTAATAAAGTTATTTAAACAGATAGTTAAATGAATGAATAATTATTTTACTGAATGTTACCCATGTATAAGGTTCTATTAAACCGTTAGTGGTATATTAATGAACTCTATAAAAACGATTACTATGAACTATATAATTATATAATTCTGCACCGCAATGATTTTTTTTATTTTATTTTTTTAAATCAAAGCCGTTTATATTTAGACGTATGATGTACAGTAATACGTTTATCTTTAACATTTATCTTAGGGAGTTTTCTGAAAATGGCATATACACGTAATAAAGAAAGGGCAAGTGGTTATGTCCACGTAGTCTGGTAAATTTGATATACATGTAGCTACACGCAAATTATTGTTACATTATCTAACGCTTCCACTACACTCTTATTTGATGACATATCAAAGCAAATATACGATACAATGTTTCTTACCATATGCAAGAATATGTTAAACGTTCAGCTTCGAACTATAGCAGTTAAAATATTATCTGCCTACTTTCTACATTATCTTTTTGGCTTGAATGATAAACAATTGTCGATTAATATAGTTGGTATTTACCTACTGATTTATCCTGCTTATCAGAGAATACATACTATGTTATGTTAAAAATTAATTATTTCGGAGTGATAAAAGAAATCGCTGTCAATTTTGCAGTTGTAAGCACAGAAGTAATTAAACAATATACATTTTTACGTTCACGTTGTTGCCATTTTGCGTCAATATTAAGGCTTGATCATGAACTTGTGTGTTACCGCAGTCGTTATTGTTGTTTTTACATTAACTTGCAAAATACGGACGCTATAAACACCGTTTGATTTGTTTTTTTGTTTAGATTTTTTATTTACTTTTTGTTTGTTTATGAATAATGAGTAATTACCAATTCATTTCCTGATATATGATGTCCGGCTAAGTTGATATATTGGAGTGATGCAACTTCATATTTCCTGATTTTCTATAGAATTACACAGACAAAACGTTTTGAACCCAACCTTTTCCGACACGTTCCATATTCGAGATGACAACTCAGAGATGTTCAGGTTAGAGCGCTTCAGCTTTTAATTTTCATAAGAAAAGAGCGTGTGTCGGTCGGCATGATCATTTTTGGACACTTTTTTGTCGAATTTGTTGTATACATGTCAAAACACAATCTATACGCTGTGGCAGTTTATTTATTGTTTTTAGATAAAGTATAAACGTTATGACTGTAAAAGGAGAAAAGGAAGATGATAATTATCATGATATTTGCGCGATGATTTGATTTCACATTCGGATGTTGCATTGTTTTTGAAGAACAATAATTTAATAAATAGCTGAATCTTTCGGAATTTGAACCTAATATTTCACAGAGTCTGTTAGCTTCATATACAGACAATGAAACCTCTACTACCAAAGTGTTTTATGATAAAAGTCACCACTTTAACATCGTCGCAATTCAATGTTTTTATCTGCTCACTCTCCTTACAACTCGGTTTCTAGGATTCTGATTCAAAGCAAAACTTGATTGAATTGAAATATAACTCCGTTATTAAGCACAAAAACAGTTTACACTCAAACCCGTGGCTTGAGACGATGCCACTTTAATAACTTTTCGGGGGGGGGGGGGGGGTTTCAGAAGTAATATGCCAAGTTCTACTTACGGAATTCGTCGCCCCAAATTTTGTTCTAAGTATAAAAGATTTGTGAATAAATGCGTCTTTTTTATAAATGTAATCTTAAACAAATGATTTGCAACTTGAGCCTGTGACCACCACGACCAGAAAACCAGGCATCACCTCCGATGTATTTGTCAGGAAACACGATGTCTCTATTTGTCTATTGCTAGTTCTTGTTATTGCCTTTTTATTTATTTTTTGCCGACTTCGAGTTCCTTTTTTTCTTGGATGTCGACGATATGGTATATTCTGCCGTCATGTGTTGACGCTGTGGTATAATTTGTCACATTGTGTTGGCACTGTTGTATACTTTGTCACTGTACATTGACGCTATGGTATCATTATGGGTCAATATTTTCTGCTGTTTTAAGTCGAAACATATTAATTTTCTATCAAGAAAGATGAACGTATTACACACTCGGGTGCTGAATCAATACAGCTGTTTCATCCTTCTGGGACTCATCGGTGATATTTGGGTAAAAAACGTTGGAAATATATACAGTATGTAAAGTATGTGTAACAAAATGAGAAATTTTATATTTTATAAAAAGGCATTCAGTACGCGGCTTTAGTAATATGTGTAGATTGTTCTTCGCAATTTTGTATTTGTATTGATTATGAACATAGCCCAAAATGGACTGAAATCTTAAACAATATGAACAAAGTGGAAGTACACAAAAATATTTTAACAGTAATTATATACCGCGGTATGAATTGGCGCATGGTTCAAAAATTGATATATTTTTACGAATATTCCCAATCTCTTCTATCTCCCCTTCTGAACAACTTTTTTCAATTTGAAATATAATGTCGTTAGACACTGATGATACATTAATAACATCTTACACAATAGGTCCATTCAATTGTATGTACATTAGCTATCAATAGTATAAATAGTGTTTATGGGAAGTGCATTCACAAGTTTCACAATCTTGTGTCTATGTAATTATTTACACAATCAACCAGTGTTAGCTTTCACAAAAACATATAGCTATATGGTCGTGTTAACAATAAAACAAAGACATCTCGAACAAGGAAACTGGTCAGCTAAATTGATATCGGTGTTTTTCCAAGGGATTACGTATGCAACCATTTTTATAGATTTTATTTTATTACAAAAAAAATCAACATTACAAAATAGTTTTCACACTCACTTGTTCAGTCTTACAACTAAACATCTCGTGTAGGCCTGATCATTATATACGTGTTTCCTATTTCCCTATAGACAATTATCTATTTTGTTTTTAAAGTCAATGTATTAACTTTTTATAGAAGTTACAAACAATCATTCATTAATATATATATATGTATATTTGTTTTATAGAAATAATCGGTTTTTTATAGATGATAGATGGATGTTAATGAAACTGTTACATAGACAGGTAAATAAAGTATCAAGTCGAAAAACAAATGATAGTCAGGTACACTTCAACGATCAAGCGTATTATTATATAGTCAAATAAGCTAAGAGTGTTTTATTATACATCAGGTAATCTAAGAGTATCCAGTCAATTATTATACATCAAGTAAACTAAATGTAGCAGGTCAATTATTATACTGTCAGGTAAACTAAGAGTATCCAGTCAATCATTATACATCAGGTAAACTAAGAGTATCCAGTCAATTATTATACAGTCAGGTAAACTAAGAGTGACCAATTAATTAGTATACAGTCAAGTAAACTAAGAGCGACCAGTTAATAAGTATACAGTCAGGTAAACTAAGAGTGACCAGTCAATTAGTATACAGTCAGGTAAACTATGAGTGACCAGTTAATTAGCATACAGTCNAAGTATACAGTCAATTATACATACAGGTAAACTAAGAGTGACCAGTTAATCCTTATACCGTCAGGTAAACTAACAGTGATCAGTTAATTATTAAACATCAGGTAAACTAAGTGTATCCAGTCAATTATTATACATCTGGTAAACTAAAAGTGGCCAGTTCATCATTATACTGTCAGGTAAACTAAGAGTGACCAGTTAATTAGTATACATTCAGGTAAACTAAGAGTGACCAGTTAATTAGTATACAGTCAGGTAAACTAAGAGCGAGCAGTTAATTAGTATACGGTCAGGTAAACTAAGAGTGACCAGTTAATAAGTATACAGTCAGGTAAACTAAGAGCGACCAGTTAATTAATATACAGTCAGGTAAACTGAGAGTGACCATTTAATTATCATACAGTCAGGTAAACTAAGAGTGACCAGTCAATTATTATACAGTCAGGTAAACTAAGAGAGACCAGTTAATCCTTATACCGGCAGATAAACTAAGAGTGACCAGTTAATTAGCATACAGTCAGGGAAACTAAGAGTGTCCAGTTAATTAGTATACAGTCAGGTAAACTAAGAGCGAGCAGTTAATTAGTATACAGTCAGGTAAACTAAGAGTGACCAGTCAATTATTATACAGTCAGGTAAACTAAGAGTGACTAGTTAAGCATCATACAGTCAGGTAAACTAAGAGTATCCAGTCAATTATTATACAGTCAGGTAAACTAAGAGTATACAGTTAATCCTTATACCGTCAGATAAACTAAGAGAAACCAGTTTATCATTATTCAGTCAGGTTAACTAAGTGTATCCAGTCAATTATTATACAGTCAGGTAAACTAAGAGTGACCAGTTAATTAGTATACAATCAGGTTAACTAAGAGTGACCAGTCAATTATTTTACAGTCAGGTAAACTAAGAGTGACCAGGCAATTAGTATACAGTCAGGTAAACTAAGAGCGACCAGTTAATTAGTATACAGTCAGGTAAACTAAGAGCGACCAGTTAATTAGTATACAGTCAGGTAAACTAAGAGTGACCAGTTAATTAGTATACAGTCAATTATTATACAGTCAGGTAAACTAAGAGTGACCAGTTAAGCATCATACCGTCAGATAAACTAAGAGTGACCAGTTTATCATTATACAGTCAGGTAAACTAAGAGTGACCAGTTACGCATCATACCGTCAGATAAACTAAGAGTGACCAGTTCATCATTATACAGTCAGGTAAACTAAGAGTGACCATTTAATTAGTATACAGTCAGGTAAACTAAGTGTATCCAGTCAATTAGTGTACAGTCAGGTAAACTAAGAGTATACAGTCAATTATTATACAGTCAGGTAAACTTAGAGTGACCAGTTAATTAGTTTACAGTCAGGTAAATTAAGAGTGACCAGTTAATAAGTATACAGTCAGGTAAACTAAGAGTGACCAGTTAATTAGTATACAGTCAGGTAAACTAAGAGTATACAGTCAATTATTATACAGTCAGGTAAACTTAGAGTGACCAGATAATTAGTTTACAGTCAGGTAAATTAAGAGCGACCAGTTAATGAGTATACAGTCAGGTAAACTAAGAGTGACCAGTTAATTAGTATACAGTCAGGTAAACTAAGAGTATACAGTCAATTATTTTACAGTCAGGTAAACTAAGAGTGACCAGTTAATTAGTATACATTCAGGTAAACTAAGAGTGACCTGTCAATTATTTTACAGTCAGGTAAACTAAGAGTGACCAGTTAACTAGTATACGGTCAGGTAAACTAAGTGTATACAGTCAATTATTTTACATCAGGAGAACTAAAAGTATCCAGTTAATTATTATACAGTCCGGAAAACTATTAAATCTAGTCAATAATTTTGTAGTCAGGACAACTCAAGGTTCCCGGTCAAGTTCTTCACGTAGTAGATACAACAATTTAGGTAAACTTAACTTATGAAGTCGGGTTAACTACATGTATTTAAGGTAAACTAAATTATCCAGTCATACAAAGAACACATTTTAAGTAAATTTAAGTTGTGCAACCGGTAAACTCAACTTATCTCCTTTCATCTTATCAACCATTCTTCCAACGTTTTCTTTAAGTTTTAATACTGTACAGATTAAAGAATAAAAAAAACCCCAAGGAATTCGTTGGCTGGATGAAAATGGTAAAATTGCTCATGTCGAATTTCGAAAGTCTGTGGCATGAACGGAACTTGTTTTTATATTTGATGTTGCAATATTTGTATCAAAAATTACATTGTGGAAGTCAATAACCACATAATTCTATGATATTCTTTCTAATTTTAGAAATGGCCGATGAGATCGCGCCTGTATGCCGGGATATTGTCCAGCACCTTTCCCGCCCAGGGTCAGAGGAGGGCAACAAATAACAACGCCTGCTCATCGATGACGTCCCAGAACAAACAAGCACATTGGAAATGTCGAACAAGGCCTAAACAAACTGGTTATATGAACCACGAGCCGATGTAATGTATAGCATTCTGGTTGTGCAAGAGATCTCAGGGACAAACAAACAAAATCTCGTCAGAAGAAATTTGACTAGAAATNGTCCTATTTCTCATCCTCCTATTCGTTTTTGTCCTTGTCCTCGACCTCCTATTTGTTCTTGTTGTCCTATTTCTCACCCTCCTATTCGTTCTTGTTGTCCTATTTCTCATCCTCCTATTCGTTTTTGTCCTTGTCCTCGACCTCCTATTTGTTCTTGTTGTCCTATTTCTCACCCTCCTATTCGTTCTTGTTGTCCTATTTCTCATCCTCCTATTCGTTTTTGTCCTTGTCCTCGACCTCCTATTTGTTCTTGTTGTCCTATTTCTCACCCTCCTATTCGTTCTTGTTGTCCTATTTCTCATCCTCCTATTCGTTTTTGTCCTTGTCCTCGACCTCCTATTTGTTCTTGTTGTCCTATTTCTCACCCTCCTATTCGTTCTTGTTGTCCTATTTCTCATCCTCCTATTCGTTTTTGTCCTTGTCCTCGACCTCCTATTTGTTCTTGTTGTCCTATTTCTCACCCTCCTATTCGTTCTTGTTGTCCTATTTCTCATCCTCCTATTCGTTTTTGTCCTTGTCCTCGACCTCCTATTTGTTCTTGTTGTCCTATTTCTCACCCTCCTATTCGTTCTTGTTGTCCTATTTCTCATCCTCCTATTCGTTTTTGTCCTTGTCCTCGACCTCCTATTTGTTCTTGTTGTCCTATTTCTCACCCTCCTATTCGTTCTTGTTGTCCTATTTCTCATCCTCCTATTCGTTTTTGTCCTTGTCCTCGACCTCCTATTTGTTCTTGTTGTCCTATTTCTCACCCTCCTATTCGTTCTTGTTGTCCTATTTCTCATCCTCCTATTCGTTTTTGTCCTTGTCCTCGACCTCCTATTTGTTCTTGTTGTCCTATTTCTCACCCTCCTATTCGTTCTTGTTGTCCTATTTCTCATCCTCCTATTCGTTTTTGTCCTTGTCCTCGACCTCCTATTTGTTCTTGTTGTCCTATTTCTCACCCTCCTATTCGTTCTTGTTGTCCTATTTCTCATCCTCCTATTCGTTTTTGTCCTTGTCCTCGACCTCCTATTTGTTCTTGTTGTCCTATTTCTCACCCTCCTATTCGTTCTTGTTGTCCTATTTCTCATCCTCCTATTCGTTTTTGTCCTTGTCCTCGACCTCCTATTTGTTCTTGTTGTCCTATTTCTCACCCTCCTATTCGTTCTTGTTGTCCTATTTCTCATCCTCCTATTCGTTTTTGTCCTTGTCCTCGACCTCCTATTTGTTCTTGTTGTCCTATTTCTCACCCTCCTATTCGTTCTTGTTGTCCTATTTCTCATCCTCCTATTCGTTTTTGTCCTTGTCCTCGACCTCCTATTTGTTCTTGTTGTCCTATTTCTCACCCTCCTATTCGTTCTTGTTGTCCTATTTCTCATCCTCCTATTCGTTTTTGTCCTTGTCCTCGACCTCCTATTTGTTCTTGTTGTCCTATTTCTCACCCTCCTATTCGTTCTTGTTGTCCTATTTCTCATCCTCCTATTCGTTTTTGTCCTTGTCCTCGACCTCCTATTTGTTCTTGTTGTCCTATTTCTCACCCTCCTATTCGTTCTTGTTGTCCTATTTCTCATCCTCCTATTCGTTTTTGTCCTTGTCCTCGACCTCCTATTTGTTCTTGTTGTCCTATTTCTCACCCTCCTATTCGTTCTTGTTGTCCTATTTCTCATCCTCCTATTCGTTTTTGTCCTTGTCCTCGACCTCCTATTTGTTCTTGTTGTCCTATTTCTCACCCTCCTATTCGTTCTTGTTGTCCTATTTCTCATCCTCCTATTCGTTTTTGTCCTTGTCCTCGACCTCCTATTTGTTCTTGTTGTCCTATTTCTCATCCTCCTATTCGTTTTTGTCCTTGTCCTCGACCTCCTATTTGTTCTTATTGCCATTGTCCTCTATAAACCTTACATCACATAAATATTTTATTTTAACTTTTTTTCATGCTGCATTTTGTTTCGTATATATGAAATGTCAAAATCGTTCCGAATCATATGTAGAAATACAGCAAAACGGAAATGTTCCTACCAAACCCTTTATAATTTAACACATACAACTTTTCGCAACATCAGATAATCTATCATTCAACTAGTATTTCATGTTAACCTTACCAAAATAAGATTACTGCAAACCTTGGGGGTTGGTAGCCCACCCAGCATAGCCAACCACCTTCTTAGGTAAAAATAAAATGATAGAAATACGAAAAGTAAAGAAGCACTCATTTGAAACGTTACAGGTAACGGAAACGTTATAACCCGTGTTTTCCTACCTTTTGTTACGTTATCCTGCCGATCAACATGTTTGTAGTCTTGGGTGAAATATTGTTTAAACTATATGCATTATTTAGCACTTGTGATATGTTTGGGCTAGTTTCAGCCCGGAATTTAAATGCTATGCTATTTAAAACCTGTCATTCGCCAACATCTTGGTGTTACAGCATAAATATTGAAATAAATCATTACCAAACAAACCTTTGATGTATCTTAATCTGTCCTATGGAAGCAATTACAGTTTTTTTTAAATGAACTACTCCACGATGGGCCTTTGCTAGGCCTATTGTGATTAGCCCGAGTTTCCACTGATCCTAACACTAGACATTTTGATAACACCAGACATCTATATGTCAAAATGTCCAAGTCTGGTGTATTGTTAAGGGTTACCTTTGACTTTGAACTGCAATCAGCTATTATGTAAACGTGTGAAGTTTACGGAACATTAATGAAAATATACCGTCAGTGTACCCAAAATCGGAAACTTTTCACTTAGAGATTGATGTAACCCATAGCATAGTATCAATCCCAAAAATGTTTTTCATAAATAGATATCATCCACTTTTCTTTTCTATTACAAGTTGATATTTCTGGCACGTTGTTCAATGAACAGAGCGTGAAATACTATTAAGGGTCACATAGGCTGTTGAGTAGGTGAAACAATACCCTGAAAAGGACACTTCGGTATTTTGGCTAATATTTGGGGATAAACGATCAACATCACAGACACAGGAAACTATACATAGTTCAAATATTTTAGAGTCAGAAAAGGTTTTGATCAAATTTCTTCTCCAAACTAACTTAAGGTTTTGAACACTCGCCTGTCAAGAACCAAATTGGCCAGCAGTGTACACTGCAAAGCTGCAGAGGCCTTCAGACAGTTATGTAAGGATGAGGTCACCCTATCCTGCACAGCCCGTCTGTCACTCTCATCAACCTCTGACTCCCCGATGGGCACTTCCGATAAACGGTTTTAGTAATTGTTCTTAGCTTTAAGCTGTCCGTGTAACGAAAATCAGCAACAAACCAAGCTTATATACAATTAAGGTACTCCATGTATAATGAAAGCGGTACTTATAAAATGCCTGTATCGCTCACCTGAATATGTTTAAAATAATTGGTATGAAGTAAAGATATAGCACTCCATGGTAGGTGCTGTAAGTACATATGAAAATTCAGAAAGATCCATCCAGTACTTGAGATATAGCGAGAACAAACTTCAAACAGAGCCCCACCCCTATGCCCCTAGGGGGGTCATACCCACAAATTATACAAAATTGAGACCCCTTGGTCCAAGGATGCTCAAGACTAAATATGGAAAAAATCCCTTAATCTCGATGGTCGAAGAAGGATTTTAAAGGTTTTACCTCTATTTCTCCGTTTGGCCCCCGCCCTTCTGCCCCCTGGGAGACCACACCCACTGCATAAGCAAAATTAAGTCCCCTTGGCCGAAGGATGCTCCAGACTAAATTAGGATAATCCCTCAACCCAAATGGTAGAAAAAGGATTATAAAGGTTTTACTTCTATTTCCCCTATTGGGCCCCGCCTCTCTGCCTACAGGGGGGTTAGACACACCGTTTATACAAAATAGGTTCCCCTTTACCCAAGGATGCTCCACACCAAATATGGAACAAATCCGTGCATTCCTACAGAGGAAGGAGTTTAAAGAATAATTTGTTATGTTTCCCCTATGGCGCCCTACCTCTCAGGCCCCTGGCGGGCCAGTCCCATGTTTTATACAAAATTGGTTCCCCTTTACCCAAGGATGCTCCACACCAAACATGGAACAAATCCTTTCATTCCTACAGAATAAGAAGGATTTTAAAGAATAATTTGCTATGTTTCCCCTATTGGGCCCCGCCCCTCTGCCCCCAGGGGGGCCACACCCACCGTTTATACAAAATAGGTTCCCCTTTACCCAAGGATGCTCCACACCAAATATGGAACAAATCCTTGCATTCCTACAGAAGAAGAAGGATTTTAAAGGTTTTACCTCTGTTTCTCCGTTTGGCCCCCGCCCTTCTGCCCCCTGGGAGACCACCCCCACTGCATATACAAACTAAAGTCCCCTTGGCCCAAGGATGCTCAAGACTAAATTAGGATAATCCCTCAACCCAAATGGTAGAAAAAGGATTATAAAGGTTTTACTTCTATTTCCCCTATTGGGCCCTGCCCCCCAGCCCCCTGGGAGCGCCACACCCACCATTTATACAAAGTTGAGTCCCCTTGGCCCAAGGATGCTCAAGACTAAATATGGAAAAAATCCCTTAATCTCGATGGTCGAAGAAGGATTTTAAAGAATTTGCTATTTTTCCCCTATTGGGCCCTGCCCCCCAGCCCCCAGGGAGGGCCACACCCACCATTTATACAAAGTTGAGTCCCCTTGGCCCAAGGATGCTCCAGACTAAATTAGGATAAAATCCTTTAATCCCTACGGTAGAAGAAGGATTTTCAAGGTTTTACCTCTATTTCCCCTATTGGGCCCCGCCCCTCTGCCCCCAGGGGGGCCACACCCACCGTTTATACAAAATTGAGACCCCTTGGCCTAAGGATACTCTCGACCAAATTTAGTCAAAATCTACTTGGCCGTTGAGGACTAGTAGCGTTTTAAAGGAAAAGTTGACGGACGGACGACGGACGACAGACGGACGACGGACGCTGCGGTAGGGCATAAATAAGCTCACCATGGTCCTTCGGACCAGGTGAGCTAATAAAAAACATATATTTTGTTCACTTCCAAAACAAATGTGTATTATACATGGAATACCTTAAATCGACATTACATTGTCATCAAATCCTTTCTATATCTTTTCCTTGTCGTTATAAGTAGAACACTAGTTATTTCTCAGAAGCAAAATCATTGATTTGGAGTAAGTAATATACCTAATCTATACACATAGAAAAGCAGAAGGCTATGTGTGTATAGAACTGACCACAGCGTAGAAATGTTCGCCTTGGTGACTTCAAACTGACCACAGCATAGAAGAAATTAACGCGCTGGCAACAGTTCTGAAAGCTGCATACATAAACATAATGTCTATATATCTAGAGATTGCGTGAGGATATTTTGTCACCACTTTTCTCAACACGAAAGACAAGAGTTAAACATAAGCATACACGTGTGCTGTGACCCATATCAGTTTAGCATATGTGCATTTTAAACATTTGTAACGAACCCCTGTGATCTAACCGAACTGAAAGACATGTCGTGAGAGCTTTCAGTTCCAAAAAAGGTTGTCATCAATGTTGGAGCATATATTGTGAAAAGCACGACAAATTCCGTGATAAAGTATACTGAGAATGATGTCATGAGAATAATAGAGTTCCTGGTTGACAAATTTGGTTGAATTATGTGGATTTTCAGTCTGTACATAGGCATTCCTGTTTGCACAAACTGTGTCCCACTTCTAGCGGACTTTTTAATGAGACTGAACTTAATGAAGAACCCAACAGGACAGTTTGAAACATTGCCAAGCCGTTAGATGTCATTTTCAGCTATAACGACGTTGTGCTGTCTTTTAAATCAACTCCTTTCTTCGATCTTTACTTACAATTGACCTACATGAACGGCTTCTTCCAACCGAAATTAATAGTACGACAATTATGATTTACGATCGAAAACGTCACCATCTTTTTTGATAGCAACATCCCTGCTTATCCCGCCTATGGCATGAACATATCGCAGTTGAATCGGTATTAAACAGCTTGCTCCGAATATCATGATTTTCATGATGTATGTCGACTGCTGGCGGACAAACTTGAAACACAGGGTTTCCGTGATATATGACTGCTGGCGGACAAACTTACAACACAGGGTTTCCGTGATGTATGTCGACTGCTGGCGGACAAACTTACAACGCAGGGTTTCCATGATGTTTGTCGACTGCTGACGGACAAACTTACAACACAGGGTTTCCGTGATGTATGTCGACTGCTGGCGGACAAACTTACAACACAGGGTTTCC